GGTCCTGGGATCGAGCCCCATGTCGGGCTCCCTGCTTGGCGTGGAGCCTGCTTCCCCTTCTGCCTTCCCCTGCTCCTCCTCTCTTGCTCACTCACTCTCTCTCTCTCAAACAAATAAATAAAATCTTTTTTAAAAAATGACCAATGAATATAAAGACCAGGGACATGGGGACTACACCAGTACTGGAAACAACAGAAGGTGCCCCTGACATGCCAGGAATGTCAAGGAATTTTGGCAGATGGAACCAAACTGAAGAAAAATACCATAAGCCAAACAGCACTCCCCCCCCCCCCCCCCCCGCCAAGAACAGACTGGGTTCTTGAGAAGCAGGGCTCTGCCACCTCTTACTTGAAAGGGCAAAGTCCTGAGGGGACAGCGGGCCACGGGGCAAACAGAAACCCCACAAAGACCCCTCTGGGTTAGTCAGATCAGGGGTATCTGTGATGCCACAACTCATCGCTGGGTAAAGATCAGACCAAAGGGAACGATGCACCAGGAGCAGTGGATTCCCCAAACCCAGAAAGGAATCAATGATGCAGAGACTACGAAGGAGCTTCCCTTCCCCTCCCCTCAGGCTGCTGGATCTCTAACTTGATATATTAGTCCACGTCACTGAACAAGTATGGGAGAAAATCCACAAGGTATCTATGAAGAGATCCTGAAACAAACAAGGACAACATGGCATTCCTACTTATAAAAAAGACTCAGCGCAGGAAGCAAAAGTAATTTTTCAAGAGCATCTCCTTATAGCCTCAAAGCTTCTTAACATATACGGGCTGTGCAGATGAGGTAAGACGGTGAAAGAAGAAGAAAATAAAGAAGAGGCTTGAGAAAGAAACTGGGAGCTGAATGAGGTAAGAAAAAATACAAAATCTAAAAATCTAAAAATACAAAATCTAAATCTAAAAATACAAAAGCCAAATGAGTATCTGCATTAGAAACCACACAAAGCGGCACTGATTCGATAGAAACTGGCCCAGTGATGTGGAAAGCAAACAGGAGAAGTTCTCCCAAGAGGTACAGAAGAACAAAGGGACCAAGGTCATGAGGGAGACGGACAAACAAAGGAGGACGGTGGGCGGAGCGTGCGTACCAAGTCGAGGTTCTTGGGAACCAGAGCCCATAAAACTGCCACAGGGAAGGACCCACAACTGCAGATTGAAAGGGGTCACTCAGCACCCAAAATTCAAGTGGAAGGACGAAACTGGGATACGCTCGGATGAAAACTTGAAACGGCAGGTGCAGAGATGGGAAGAACCTAATGAGCATCAAATGGGGGTATAACGATTACTGCATGTACGAACGGACCAAATGGACCATCTGGGCTGGCCTCAGACTTCCCTCCCAAAAGCCGGCGGGTCAGAAGCTGGTGGTTACATAAATTCCACACGGGATTAAGCCACACAGAACAATTACTACTGCACCCCCCAGTGACTATGGGTAAAACTGGCGAAATCTGAATGAGGTTCGTACTCTAGTTAATAGTCTCATGCCAGTGTCATTTTCCTGGTTTTGATATTATATTATATTGTAGTTCTATCCAATGTTCTCATTGGGGGAAGCTGGGCGCAGGGTACCTAGGATCTCTGTACTACTTGGCAACTTCCTGTAAGTCTATAATTATATATTTTTTTAAAAAGTAGGTCAAGCATCAAGGTCCACTACAGAAATCTGAAAGAAAAAAGAATTCCATACCCCAATAAACTCCTGTTCATACGTGAAAGCAAAGGATAGTCATTCTCCATTATGAAGACAAGGTATGATGCCAGAAAAAGAGCCAAAATAAAATTTTCACAAATCCAGATTTTTTAAATGGGCGGACATGGTCTAAAAAGGTCTACTGATGAGCACTGAAACCAGCTAAGGAGACTTCAATTTGAATAATTGTTATGGATGTGATTTTAAAACTAGCAGCAAACATAACGTTTAAGAAATAATACATGATCAGAAAATGTATAATATAAATAAATTATGCCTAAAAACTCCTATCAGGGGCGCCTGGGTGGCTCAGTTGGTTAAGCATCCAACTCTCGGTTTTAGCTCAGGTCATGATCTCAGGGTCGTGAGATCAAGTCCTGAGTCAGGCTCTGCACTCAGCACAGAGTTGGCTTGAGATTCTCTTTCCCTCTCTCTCTGCCCCTCCCCCACCGGCTCATGCCCGCTTGCTCTTTCTATCGTTCAAATTAATAAAATCCAAAAAAAAAAGAAAAAAGAAAAGAACAAACACTCCTTACCTGTGTGGGCAAAAGACATGATTAGATTATCCACACACATACCCCAAATTCAAACATCCATTAAACACATGAAAAAAAAAAAACCTCCCAATCATGAATAATGAAAGAAATACAGACGAAAACATCTCTGTAATAACTTGAGAGTAAATCTGTTTGGTCTTCAAACCTTCACAATACCACAAGACAAATAATACCTTTAAGTTTCCTTTAAGTACTTATATAAGCCTTAAACTTGATCATGGCTTTTCTCAGAGTTCACATTAAAGAAATAATAAAAAATGGTGTATCAAGATTTCTGCTCCAGGGCACCTGGGTGGTTTAGTCGGTTAAGTGGCTGCCTTCGTCTCAGGTCATGATCCCAGGGTCCTGGGATCGAGCCCCATGTTGGGCTCCTTATTCAGCAGGGAGCCTGCTTCTCCCTCTCCCCCTGCCTGCCACTCCACCTGCTTGTGCTCTCCCTCTCCCTATCTCTAGCAAATAAATAAAGAAAGAATCTTTATAAAAAAGATTTCTGCTCCAAGACTGGGGGATGAATATAGCAAATTGGTCAGCGAATTAGCCAAGCCCTGCTTGCTCGAGTGAACAGCAATCAAATGATGTCAATAAAAGTATTTTCATTTTAGAGCTTACTAGGGACCCAAAGAGATAATTATGGGTGCCTGGCCCATGGTTTAAGTGCTCAGTAACCATTAGACAGTGGTAGCAGCAGAGATGTCTTTATCTACAACACTGCACAACAGGTTCAAAACCCCTTATCTGAAATGCTTGCAGTCAAATGTCCCTCAGCATTAAGACCTTTTTGGATATACGGAGTGCCTGGGTGGCTCAGTCGGTTAAGTGTCTGCCTTCGGCTCAGGTCATGATCCCGGAGTCGTGGGATCGAGTCCCGCATCGGGCTCCCTGCTCAGCAGGGAGTCTGCTTCTCCCTCTGATTCTACCCCCTCTTGTGCTCTCTCTCAAATAAATAAATAAAATCTTAAAAAAAATTAAAAAAAAAAAGACCTTTTTGTATATCAAAAAATAATAGCATATTTACCCAATGAGGTCTGGGAGAGTACCTGGTAATCAGTTAGATTACTATTCCTATAGGAATATATATGAATATTCATTCTAAGTAAGATAAATACCAGTTCAGGTTTTCCAGTAGACTGAATTAAAAAAAAAATGCAGTTTTTAGAGCTTCCTGGACTTCAGATTTGCATGGAAGGGACTGAGTACCCGTATTTATAATAGAGAAACATTAAAATCTATCTAAAGGTACGGTAATAAGGGATAAGTTACATAAATTACAATAGTCATAAGATGGAAAACTAGACTGCTCTAAAAAGTCATTTTTTCAAAGAATATTTAATAAAATGGGAAAATGTTCATGAATAGTAGGTAAAAAAAAAAAGGCAAGATAAAAACACGCATTATGAATTCAACTTTGCAAAAGGAAGTTACATAGATGCTTATTAATTCCAGAATAAAAGATACAAGGAACCATACCAGGATATTAAATTAGCCGCACTGACTTACGTTCTTCTTTTGACTTTTCTGTATTTTCTAATCTTCTACGATAATCCGCTAATATTTTGAACCATTTAATGGCTAATGTTCCTATACAGGACTAGAGAGTTACCAAGTCCATCTCTGCCCTCAAGGAATCTAGAATCTCATCTCTGGAGAGCTCCGGCCAGGACTCAGGTGTCTCTGCATCAGACTGCATTTGGTTTGCGATTCCCCACTAGCACCTCAGGACAATGGGACCAGGCCACCGGGACTTTTTCACACCTCCACCAAATGAAACACTTGATAACCTTGCAAGTCAAGCCAGTGGTAAAAATGGCATCAGTGATGTAACGAGAACTTGATTCAGCTCATGACCTTATCTAAAGAAGCTACCAGAAAAAAACAAAAAGGCCTGTTGAAATGTGTTTGCTCTCTTTCACTGTACTCATCAAATCTCCATTATTTAAGAAATTGCTGAAGGAGGAAAAGATCGTATTTGGGTTTGTTCCAGGTGCTTCTCCTGGGGAAGAGGATGTGAACTTGACCTTGATAGGTCCAGCAATGAAAACGTCAATCATTTTGTGGAGCATATGGATGCTAAGAGGGATCGTGACATTGATGGTCCAGTGAAGGGACAGGCAGGAATTCCTCCTACCAAACAGGCCACCAGTGTCCAAGGGGGTGGGCCTCTGGCCGGAGCGCTGAAGGGCTCAGTTCCCAGTTTCCTGAATGGTCCTAACACCCAGGTGGTCTTCATGAACTCCTCCCACACCTGGAATTCTCCACTGGTTTAGTACACAGTTCAAAAGCATTTTACACCAAAATGCCACTTGTGACGCAAGCATTACGAGCTGTCATGAGACTCAATTTTGGACTTGGAACAAAGGTAAATAGATGGTCAGTCAACTTAACACCTAACCACCCAAAAAATCCCGATGGGTGGTTAGTTAAATCACGTTTATAGAGATTCCAATAGTCTTTTTAAAATATTGCAGAGAAGAGGAGAAATCCACATGTAAAGCTTTTGACACACATAAATTCTAGTCAGCTGTAGAGTAAGTTAACTCTCTTACCTTAATCCCATAGAAAATTACTTGTTTGCAGGCAGACTGTCCTCCGAGAATATTTTTTCATTTGTGGAGTGCTTGTTAATCCTTCCCTCCCTCCCTTCCCCTCTCCCAACCCAAAGAGGAGAAACATAAAGTGTGCATGATCTCCTGTGTAGCTGGGACCTTCATAAAAATGAAACAGTTCCAGGAGAAAGGGCTGACTTACCCTATCCCAGCTGAAACACAGGCCCAGTCGATCAAGCTGCTTCCTCATGTGTTCAATATTACTGTGAAACAGAGGGAAGAAAGTTTGGTTTTCAGAGGGGGGAAAGTCACAGACAAACCATACTTTGAGAATGTGAAGGGAAACTGTAAAAGTCTAGATTATTCAAGAGGGCTTCCAATGTTGCTTTGCCCCAGCAAAAAAAAAAAAAAAAAAAATTAATCACTAAGAATTAACGAAAGTATCAGTGTATTAGAATTAGAAGACACCCATTCTTCGGATTCATACAGAATCTACTAGAAACCACAATGGTCTTTGGCCCTGGGGACTGGCCCTTCCTCTGGCCATGATAGGCAACCCCTTTGGTATGTGCATTCCCGGCCCATCCATACATCTGTATTCCACACAAATTTAAGCCAAGCATGTATAAGTTTAAAATCAACTGAAGAGAAAAACCCTAATGTGCAAATTGTGGGAATCCAAAAGAAACCTGCTTTCGTGCTTATCAGTCAAAACCTAAAATCTAAAACTGTCCAATAATTGGGATGGGGGGAGAAAAGCGAATGAATCAACTTTAATATAATATGAAATAAGGTGATAACATCATTTTTTTTCTTTCCCCTAGGTAATCTCTGCTTAGCCAACAATAGCTTATTTTATGCCAGGCTTTGTGCTAGACATTTTACGGAAAAGTGCTTGCTATGGACAATGTTTATGTCCCCCAGAGTCTGTCTGTTGAAATCTAATCTGCAAGGTGATGGTATTTAGAGGTGAGGACTTTGGAAGGTGATGAGGTCATGTGGGGGAAGCCCTCTTGAACAGGAGCAGAGCCTTTATGAAATAGACGCCAGAGAGCTTCTTTGCCCCTTCTGCCATGTGGGGACACAAAGATGGCCATCTGTGAACCAGGAAGGAGGGTCTTCTCCATACACCAAATCTGCAGGTGCCTTGGCCTTGGACTTCCCAGCCTCCAGAACTATGAGAAAGAAATGTCTATTGTTTATAAGCCAACCCAGACTATGGCATTTTTGTTACAGTAGGCAACGAAGATGGTGCTTAATCTTTATCCATTCGGATGAGGTAGGAACGATGACTATCCCTCTTGTACAGACAAATAAACTGAAGCACAGAGACATTAAGTAATTTTCTCAAGGTGATTAGCAAGCAAGAAGGAAAGGCAGGTTTTGCACCGAGGTGGCCTGATTCAGGGGCCATCTTCTTAATGGCTATTTTCTCCGTGGAGGGTTTGGGAAACTTCTTCTGTAAAGGGCCAGATGGTAAATGTTTTCAGCTTTGTGAGCCATATGTCTATCACAACAACTCAACTCTGCCCCTGTATCATGAAAGCAGCCATGTAAACAAATGGGTATGGCTGTGTTCCAATAAAACTTTATTTACAAAATCAGGCAGGGCCAAATCTGGCCCACGGGCCCTAATTTGCCAATCCTCGGTCTAGCTCACATCAATTTTGTGCCATATTTGATCCACTTTATTTTATTATCTTTTCTTCCTTTTTTCATTACTCCCATTTAATCTAGAACTCACCATAACTGAATAAGTGGGAACTAAGGGTTAAGAGAAAAAAAAAAAGTGGATGGTACAGTGGATGTTTTTTGAAAGTAGGCTCGGGCAAGATAAAGCAAAGGGAGGTCAAAGACAATGGGGACAGGCCCTGGAACTGCCCTTCTAGATCTCTTGAGGCACGGAGTGGGGAAAGGCCCCAGATCTTTGTGAAAGAGGCTGATGGAGTGAGCCCAGAACATTCCACTGGGTTCTGGGATGAAGGATGGGCACTGCTGGCCCACATGTACGTGGAAGCCTGAGGCACAGGTGGAATTGGGAATGTGTCCCCCTTGGAGAAAGCCATCCCTGAAATATATTGGCCATATATTTCTATATTGAATGTCTAAGTTCCCCTTGCTCTGGAATGGTGAAGGCAAAAATTAACAGAATTCTCAGAGAAAATTACAATGTGGAATTTGGATATAGCTCACACTGTGGTCAAGCAGATGAGAAGCATTGTAGAAATTGAACAAAGGCAACCCTCTCCTTTTTCCTTCCAAATGCAAATACTCAAGGGAAGAATAACTTTGTAACAACAAAGCATCAAAATGAACACATGAATGAATACCCAGAACCTTCTTTGGGACTTCTCAGTTAAGAACACAGCACGCTGGGCGCCTGGGTGGCTCAGTTGGTTGAGCGACTGCCTTCGGCTCAGGTCATGATCCTGGAGTCCCGGGATCGAGTCCCACATTGGGCTCCCTGCTCGGCGGGGAGTCTGCTTCTCCCTCTGACCCTCCCCCCTCTCATGCTCTCTGTCTCTCATTCTCTCTCTCGCAAATAAATAAAATCTTAAAAAAAAAAAGAAAAAGAATACAGCACGCTAGAAGAGAAACGCCAATATATACAATCCTGTTCATCGCTTGGCAGACTGCAATGTTCTGTTTGCTTCGCTATCTGTTTCTCATGCACAGATTAAAACATTTTTTTAAGGTTTCTGTATAGAAGTATTTGAAGACGCCTGTAGATACATACCTTTGCGTCCAACTTTCTGGATGTAGATTCCTCTCAATCGCTGCATTTTCAGCAGGCAGTCCAAAGGCATCCCATCCCATGGGGTTGATGACCTAGCATCCAGAAGAGAGACATCAGCCACGGCGGATTGCTAAGACCTCTATCCGTATTGTCTTCCGGGCCATAAACAGGCATTCTCTCCTACTAACATGTCATATCCCTTTCTGGATGATTCCAGACTATGCTTCTGAAAGCCAGCTATCTACTAGGACATATGCTGAGGAGAGTATTTAGAAGGTTATACACCAAGGTGCTCATAGCCGTTATCTCTGAGTAGACTCTTCTTTGTGACTACTTTACTTTCTTCTTGTCTGTATTGTCTATAATGAAACCAAACTGTTTTTCTAAATTATAGGTGTTTTTTTTTAATTCCCAAAATGCGTACATGTAAAAATGTATGGGCATTTAAAATGCTCACCTCGTATTACTATCTGCCATTGGAGGAGCTGTGCCGTCCAATATGGTAGCCACTGGCCACATGTGCTTATGTAAATTTAAACTTAAATTAATTAAAATTAAAAATTCATCAGTCCCTCAGTCGCACTAGCCACCGTTCAAGAGCGCAACAGCCACTTTGAATCACTCCCTGGAAGATGTTCCTATTCTCTGACGAATAGGGAAGCCTAAAATCTTAGAGCTCAAAAAGGCTTTTGAGATCTGTCCTCCAAGCCTAACCCCCTTTAATTTCACAGTTTAAGCAACGTGGCCCAGCAAGAGTGAGCAGCCTAGCTGGATAACACCAGAAGCAATTACCTTCAGCCGGGATGGGCCAGTAAGGCGTTCACTTCTGCAAACGGACAGCAGCTACAGCTCAGCAGGCAGCTTCTGTCCACCTACTTTACATGCTGTGAATGGGAACAGTGGCTTGAAACACGCACCGTGGCACCGAGGGACAGCCTTGTTTGTAACCATATAGACAACCTGAGCTTGGGTTCACACACATTGCCTTGGGATAACGATGGATACTCAGAGGTATCAATCACCTCATCACCCATGCGTACCACCACAGGCCATTTTCCACTAAAGAAATAGGTCTTGTTTTCTTTTCTAAAAATACTTTTCCCTCTGATATGTGGAGTAATGCATATTCACTATACAGAGAGAAATACTCAGAAGAAAACAAAACTCACTTGTAATTCTACCAGACAGCCATACATAACCAGTTAAATTTGGTAAATTTATATCTAATTTTTAGAGATAGGGATCATATTTTATATATATATATATATATATGATAGGGATACATATATATGTGATATAGGGATCATATCATTTATATATAAAGAGAGAGATAAAAAATATATATATTTTATCTCTTATTTCCTTCCCACTGCACACCTGGGGTTTTCTTCCATCTTTCTGTCTGGCCCAAGGACTCTCTGAGGTGCATATGCGTATCGCCCACGGCCATCCTGCCTCAGGTCCATAGGCACCTATGATTCGAAGTATCCCAAACCCCTTTGGCTAATGAGTGGGAAACGCCAACAAAGGCTCGCTCTTCAGGAGGCTGTGTGGTCTGAGGGGAAAAGTCCCAAACCCAAGCCTGCCATTTACTGGCAGTGGGACCCAAGGCACATTACTTACTCGGACTCTCAACTCCCACTTGTGACAGAAAGCAGCCACCTTGCGCTGAGGATTATATGCCATGTCGGTGGTGCGCTCAGCATGGCGCCCAGTCCACGCACCCGAGACATGGGGGCGCTCGCTACGTGGCAGCTGCCATCATCTGGTACCCCTGGTCTGCAGCACCCACACGTGGCACATCACTAGTTGCCCTGGCAACATTTCAGCCGTGTCACTGGCCAGAGGTATCACAGCGGCCCTCTGACAGCAGGTAGGGAGACGCCTTGACCTCACACACGTCCTGAACGTGGCTTACTCATGGCAACTGTCTGCAGCACGTTGGTGCCAGGCACTGGAAGTTCTTAACCAAACTGAATGGACCACGAGGTTTAAACATGTAGGTCTTTTTAAAACATTCTCACATTCCCCAGGTATATCTGTTCTTTGTAGTTCTGGGAACCCAGCTAGACACAACCCAATCCAGCTGATCTTTCAGACCCAACCCGAGGTCTCTCTGCCTCTTGCTAAATGTGGCAGACCCAAAATGCTTCACCCTTCCGGAGAGTGTCCCTGCCCTTCTGGAACCTGCTCCTCCTCCAACTGCACACAGTCCTGGTGGGGGCTGCCAATCACAAAACTTGCCCCTCTGGTTACGGGCCTGAACGTGGAGGTGGGATGCAAAACAGAACAGGAAGGCAACAACATCACACTCTCTTCACTACTTTCTCCTTGGCCCGGAGGAACAAGGAGATGAGACCCCCCGGGGCTCCAGGTGACCCCACCTTCCACCGGATGGAGGTGTCTGAGAAAACAAAGCTTGCATGGGGACCGAGACTGAGGGTACTGACATGCTGCCAGGACCTGGTCCCAATGCCCACGGGCTTGTTTCCCGCAACACTGCCTCTCATTCTATGAGCTACACCAGGGTCTGTAAACACGAACAAACTTCCCTTTTTGGCGTAAGCTGGGCTGGGCTGGGCTGCACTTGGTAGCCAAGAATCCTGAGTAAAACAAACACCTTTTAGGATACAGCTTTCTCTTCAGCATTGCTTAAGCCACAGATGAAAAATATTCCCTTGTAATAAACTATTAAGCTTCACAGATTTTTTCTTTCTTTTCCTTTAATTTTCAAAAGCTATAAACAAACAAACAAATAAATAAAATCAACCCCACGTCAGGGATTTGTCCTGGATTACTAGAAAGTTCTGCAGTACTTCCGTGGACTGCACAGGAGTGTAACTTCCAGCTGTGCTTGAATTCTCCTAGGGCTGCTTCACTGGCAGAAAAATGTAACTGTTGTGTAACTGCTCCAGGAGAAGGGGGATGACCACTTGGTTTCCTTGTGGGAGCTGCCAAAACGGCACCGTTCAATCCTCCTGCCTATTAACATTCTGTTAGACGCTGTCCATATTTTTAAATAAAGTCAACACAGAGACTGTCACAAAAACCAGTCTGGACTTACATAATATTTTTCTATTTTTGTTTTCAGATGAAATTCACATGAAAAGATATTCTTAGCCCACATGTTACCCAAGCTGTCTATGAAAAATCAAGCTGGAAAATCTTAAAGCTTAATATTCCATTCTTCCCGAAAATCGACAAAAAAGCAAATGCCTGCCCTAGAATACAGACTGTGGGAAGGCCTTTCTGCATCTTGAAGTCAGAATGGTTCCCTCCACCATGGGCCAGATCACTGGAATAAACGTTCCCATGAGCTAAGTTTCTACGGAACAGGAAAGGGGTCCTCTCACTCCTAGACCCTGGGTTTCCAGAGACCCAGGGACCCAACAACTGCAGAACCCACTCTAATGCTATAGGAGACAATTCATGACTGTCAAGGGGGAACCAAGTGAAGACCTATAATAGGATCATGAAATACCAAAGCCCATCCCTTTCTCTGAGGCAGAAGGTTCTATCTGCTGGTCAAACTGTTACAGCCCATTTATGTAAAAGATACCATGTCAGGTGCTTCGTTTGCCAGCCTCCTTCGCCTCTTGGTATCTTACACATCGTCCACATCGAATACCTCCAATCTAGGTCCGGGATGCCGGCTTTCTTGCCTGTGATTCCCTGTGGCCAAGACTGTCCAAAACATTCACCGGGAGGAACTCCAGACTCTCCTTTTAGGTTCTCAAATTCCTACCCCTTTCTTTCTTTCACCGTAACTTGGTTTAACCTTTAATGCTAGGGCCACCTGAGCCCGCTCAATTCCCTAGGAGTTAATTCTTCCTGGACGTGAGTGCTTTCTGCAGAAAAGGAACCAAGAAAAAGTCCTAGTAGCTCTAACTTGGAAATCTATAACATAAACTTCCGGTGTGTGAAAAACCATCATTTCCAGCCGTTCTTCTAACAAACACTCTAAGTATTTACAATTGAGTGAGAAGCCAAGGGGGACAGCGGAACAACCCCCAAGTCTGGAAGAGTGGGACACCGCCACCACCCCTAGACTGAAGGAAAAAAGTGGGAAGCAGAGGTAACAGAGCTCCAAGGCCAAGATCAGGTATAAAAACTGAAACACATGTGGATCTGCCCAGATGGAACTGGATTCCTGAAGAAGCTGCTGACCAGCGCAGAGAGAGAGAAATTCTCTGGCTTCTCCTTCCCTCCTGCACTCCAGTCTTGCCAGAATTTCTTACTGTCCAAAACCAGCTGGAGGCCAGCTGCCACCAGGGCTTGGGAAACGTGGTCTGCGGGGGTCAGTCCTTCTGCTGTACAAGGCAAAGCAATGGGTGGAGCTGACAGCCGACTGGCCACGGGCCAGCCCGGCAACACCAGCAAGACCGCAAACCTACCACAATCTGAGATATCAAAGGGGAGTCAGGGCCAGCTACGGAAGAGGGGCAAACCCAGGGATCAGAGACCTGGCAAGTCAGACCAGAGGCGGACAGAAGGCGAGGGTTGGAGCTGGGGCGAGGCCAGCCTCTGGTGTGGACAGAGTCACGTGTCCATGGCTCACCCTGACGGGGCCTTCTGCCGCTCCCTGAGCTGAGCCGTGGGCGTCCCAGGGTTGGCAGGCAGGATAGGATGGCAAGCAGACGAGAAGAAAGGGATACAGGAGAGAGCACAGTTACAAATGACAACGTGCAGACAAGGCTCGGAAGGGATACACACCGATACATGCCAGGGATCACTGCCCAGAAGGGCGTGGTCAGGGAGGAGGTGGTCAGAAGGGACTGTGGCCTCATCTATGCTGTATTTCTTCTTTTTAAAGGGGGGAATATGGACTGTTACGTACAATTTAAAAATACATTTTTTTTTTTTTTTTAAGAAGGGAAAAAAGAACAGGCAAAGACACAGTTCTTCCTCCAACACAGGAAATAAGATCAAGTAGAGGTAAGAAAACTTTTCAGGTAGAAGGGAAGGAAGCTGGGGCAGCTCGTCGTCTGCCTTCCTGATGGCAAGAGAAATAGCACAATTGTTGCTACAAAAGGGCCAGCCTGTTCCCTAGGAATGACCAGCTTTCTCTCCTTTTCATCATAAAACAAAACTT